AAAAATTCAGTGATTTTTTTTTTTTTTTTTTTGATGAGAGAATGGGAAGAACTACAACCACAAGGTTACTTATACTAATACATGAAACTGGCATCATAAACACATAGTATTGAAAAATAATGATTAAATAAACCAGAGCCAAAACAAGGATGAACTGTGTTCACATTCATCAGAGTAGATACAAAGTTACCCTTACAAGGATACAGATTTTGTCTGTTGCTTGTTACTGTTTGTGAAAGCAGCAGCAATCTAAGGGATGATAACAGCGAAGAGGTTAATATGTTCATTAACCTCTGCAGCTAAACATTTGCTTGCAACTGGAACCAGTAGTCAGAGACAGCGGAGCTTGAAGCAATAAATTTCATCCTTTAAAAATGTGTAGCTCTGGGAAACAAAACTATTCCTCAGGCAGAACACCAGCCTCGCTCAGCAACCCTCCATGCAGACGCTATGGGAGCACTGAATGAACTCCACCGGGCGGCTCCGCGAGCTCCCCTCCAGTTTGCACAGCCCTGGCTGCCAGGAGGGGAAGGGTAGCCCACGGGTAGTGAAAACCCACCTGTGAAGCCACAGGCTTCCGCCAAAAGGAAGGTGCTCCAGGACATCAAGAAGAAGAGTGCCGTCTCCAGGAGCGGGAAGCAGTGCAGCTTGGTAAACTTGGTCACGTGGGCCTCTGTCAAGGAATTTGGCTCCGGGAACAAGTTATGGGGGCCACCAAGAACCACACTCGGTAAGCCCAGAACCCCCTTCCCTAAGGGCTATCCTTTCCCTACAACTCTTCTTTTGGGGGCCCCAAAGTTGCTGCTCGGTTTTTAAAGCAAGAAAAAGTAAGTTTTCCGGTAGAAAAGAGGTTATCAAGGGCTGGGAAAGAGGAGAGAGGGGGTTATTGTTTCTGTCTACGATGATGACAAAGATCTGGAAACAGTGGGGACGGTGGCATGAACAATGTGGATGTACTTAATGCCACTGAATTATACACCTAAAATGCTTCAAATGGCCAATTGCATTATACGTATTTTACCACAATTTAAAAAGATAGTAATGTAACATACCCAAAGCCATTTAACTGTACACTTCAAAAGGGTGAATTGTATGGTATGCAAATTTTACCTCAATAAAGCAGTCTTTAAAAAATGGAGCTTTCTAAAGCAATGGGAAATAGGTTCTCTGTGCTCCTTAAAATGCCCAGGGCTCTGAGGGGCTTGGTCTTGGCCTGAGGGGTGACTGGCAGGGAGTTCTAACAGCACTGGGGGTACCTCAGGCAGGGCCTGGGGAGGGAGATGAGGACAGTGAGACTCTGACCTCTGTGGGCCGCTATGACCTGAGGCCAACAGCAGGTGCCTCACGAATGCGTGAGAAATGAAGAAATAAAATGCACAACTCTGGGTACTGGTGTCATTTTCGGGGACAAAGAAAGAGTCCCCTCGTAACACTGCCCTTCCAGTGGGCTAGCATGGAAGCCTTTCCTGAGTGCTCTCACCGAGCAGCCTGAGTCCCCAGGGCATCACGGGGCCTCTGGGAAGGAAGCGATGGATCTGGGCCATCCAGTAGGGTAGCCACTAGCCACGAGGGGCTCCTGAACACCGGAAGTGGGGCTAGTCTGAGTTGGGAGATGCTGTGGGAGCAAAATGCGAGTGCAACGTTGCAGAGGTTTATTATAGAAATTGCACGTATGAAATCTCAGTGATAATCTGGATTTTGACTGTAGGCTGAGATGACGTGGCTGGCAGCTGTGGCTCCTGTGGCATCGTATTGGACAGTGGGGATCTAAATGCCACCGAAAGAACATTTGACGAAGTACTCCGCACACCTGTCGAGGGGTGGTCTGCTCAGCCCGTGCTTTGCTTTACTGTTGCTTGGCTGGTTTTCTAAGTGAATAGGATACAACCCTTCACTTACAGGAGGCCACCTTGCAGTAACAGCCACTGATGGCCCCAGGCAGTTACAGCCACGGTAGCCCATGTGACCCACAACAGCTGAAGGCAGGCTCCAGGCTCCAGTACTTTCCGGCCTGCTCCCTCCCGGCCTCCTGGCTCTCTCCCCGACTCCAAAACCAATGTCCTCCCAAACTCCTATCTCCAGCTGCTCTGCCAGAGGGAGAGAATGCAGAGGTGGGGATGGAGCTAAGGCTAGAGTCACACTCCCAGACATTTTCTCAGAGGCCTAGCTAGCTACATACTCGACTGTCACATTTCACCAAAGGGACACATTTCAGGAGCCCCCACCCCTACCCCCTGACCCCAGTGGAAGCATCGATTAAAGATTCATTTCTGGAAGAAAAAAAAGAAACCATTTCTGAGAGGAAGAACCGAGACCTTGCTCTCGCGAGTGTACTAGCACGCGATCCTACCCAGGCAGGGGCGGAAAGCACAGAAAGGATATTAGAGCAGTCACAACGCCCGTCACGGCTCCCATGGTGAAAGAGCCACTAAATATGCCTAGAAAAATGCCCACTGATTTAAAAAAGGCAGCAGCGTCAAAGGCATGCGTGTTCAGCCCCGCTGGCTGGTAGGCAACAATAGACCTGGGGTTTAAAAAGAAGAGAGTTAAAACAGAGCACGCCCACCTTACACAATGGTATCCACACTCTGCCCAGCACTCCCCCTGCTGTATGCCTTTAACCCGCAGCCCTCGTGTCATGCTGCCATCAGCATTTGGATCACGGCCAAGTGGACAAAGCAGCGTAATTTTATCAGTGGAGAAAAACACCTGGTTCAATCTTTAACATTTTTAAGATAAGCTTCTGAATTGAGCCCAGAGCCTTCCGGAAGCCGGAGGCTCTCTTCCCCGGGGCAGAGTAATATTGTTACTTACGAGGACAGGACAATGGCAACAGCATCATTTAGGACGCTTTCCCCGAAGAGAAGTGCGTAAAGGTCCACGTCTGCGTGCAATTCATTAAATATTGCCAGTACAGTCACTAAAAATGGGCAGGAAGCATATCAGTGAGTTGCAGCTTAAGCCACCGGTGACAAATGTATAGAGCCAATTCCTACCTTTGGTGGAACAGGGCAGTTTGGGAGACAAACGAAACAAAATGAAAATGACAGTCATCCTGATCTGAGTGAGGTCTGATAGGAGGCTCCATTCTAAGAACACCACCTCATCACCCTGCGCTCTCTAGTGCAATCCCACCACACTCGGAAATGACCTCTGTTACAGAACTTTAAGAAATAATCACAGTGAATGTGTTTGGCTCCACTGGTAAAGTGAAAGGCAGAAACCCTTTTCCCACTGACCACAGCATTCCCAGAACCCAAAATTTAAATATTTTAAAAAATATTTATGCATTTAAAACTAGGAATAGACCCCATCATATGTTAATGTACTTATTTTTTAAAAGATTTTATGTATTTATCTGAGAGAAAGAGAGAGGCGCCAGTGAGCATGAGTGGGGGGAGGGACAGGGGGAGAAGCAGGCTCCCCGCTGAGCAGGGACCCGACTTGGGGCTTGATCCCAGGACCCCGGGATCATGACCCGAGCCGAAGGCAGATGCTTAACCAACTCAGCCACCCAGGCACTCCTTAACGTACATATTTTTGATGAAAAATAATTATATTTTCCAAAACAAAAAAAAATCAGTGAGGAGAGAGCCATTTGTTTTATAGTTTTTCAGATTTCTTCAGTATCTAGACTAGAAGACAGTATCTAGATTGGAAGATAGATGGTTCTCTTACCTCTTTCCGCACTTGACCACCAGATAGTCAACAGCGCATGTTATGCAGCCTCTGGAAAACCCTACTCCACTAGACACACGTGAAAAAATGAAAGTAAAAAGACAAATAATGAGGGCGCCTGGGTGCCTCAGTCAGTTGAGTGTCTGACACTTGATTCTTGCTCAGGTCCTGATCTCACAGGATTGTGAGACTGAGCCCCAGAGCTCTGCGCTCAGCAGGAGTTGGCTTGGATATTCTCCCCCTCTGCCCCTTCCCCCACTCGCTCTCTCCCTCACCGTCTCTCTCACCCTCTTAAAAATAAATAAATCTTTTTAAAAAAGACAAACAATGTGTTAGTATTATTAACATAATGATTTACATCAGTCTGGACCACCCTGTCCCCGTGAAGGCATTCTGGAGTCCCTCAACCGCAGCACGATGGCCATTTGGGGCCAGTGGATTCTTGATTGTGGGCGGCTGCCCTGTGCCCTGTAGGATGTGCAGAAGCACTTTTGGCCTCCACTCACTAGATACCAGTAGCGTTGCACGCTCCCGGCTGACTGGGACAGCCAGATGTGTCTACAGACGTTGCCAATGTCTCCTGAGGGGCACAAATCCCCCCCCCCCCCCCCCGGTGAAGAACCACTGTTCCAGAGAAATGCAGGCAGGCAGGCAGGCTCCTCTCCACACTCATGCCCAACCACCTTCTGCTTCATTCGTTTCTACCATAAGGACTTTAAAAACTAAAAACTCATCTCCCCAGCTTCTCCTGCAGTGAGTGTCACCTCTTCTTGCCTGGAGGAGAGTGGACAGATGGCTGTAACACAGTCATCTCGCCTCCAGTGGGCAACAAATGTGCATCTGAAACACAAGGGCAGTGCCCTGGAGAGACGGGGTGCCCGGACACTTGACTGTCGCGGGAGCCGAGGCACCAGCTGAGGGACGTAAGCTAAGAGAGACAGCTCTCTGTTTAAGCTCCTATGAGCCAGCTTGTTCTGCTATTTGCAACCAAAGGCATTACTAACAGACACAATTAGAAAACAAAACCAAATGAATATTTACCTTTGTGAGTTATTACAAGCTAACCCCTCTTTGTAGCCATCACCCAGTGCAGGCAATGGAATTTTGCCAGCCCCCACCGGAAGCCCACCTCTATGTAGCATCCTAATTTCAAGCCCCTTCTCCCACTTAAACGTAACCACCAACCTCGTTTTATAGTAATTGTTTTCCTGCATTTCCTTACAGTTTGATTACCCAAGGTTATTCCCCGACACTACTGCTTAGGTTTTGTCCATTTTTAAATTGAGTTTTTGAAATTTTTTTTTACATCTTGTTTACTGCCTGGGCTCCTCATCTGCTCCTTTCTGTCAACTCTATCCACGATGCCTATTGTTTACTCCTCTCAGTTCTGAATTTTCCAATCCTGATGTTCACAGTGCTTTCATAACTTCTATCATTTTCCAAATTTCCTTTTTTCTTTAAAAAAAAGATTTTATTTATTTGAGAGAGAGAGAGTGAGAGAGTGAGAGAGCACAAGCAAGTTACCAGGGCAGGGGAGAGCAGAGGGAGAGGGACAAGCAGACCCAGTGCTGAATGTGGAGCCGATGTGGGGCTCGATCCCATGATTCTGAAATCACGACCGAAGCAGAAAGCAAGAGTCCGATGTTCAACCAACTGAGCCACCCAGGTAGCCCCTGAATTTCCTTTAGCTTCTATCAGAATATTAGTAATATTCTGCTTTGGTACCCTATTTTGCTGATATTACTTAATTATCTGCAACTTTATTATTCAGAGGGGCTATCCTCATTTTTTCTTACAGTATGGTTGCATGAAGTAGGATCTCAATCCACTTCGAGCTGCTCATTTTAAGGGAGGTGGGGAGGGGAAGACCCAGACTAGCTTTCCTCCTTTCATGGCTCTAGGGCTCCCTCTGCTGGTTTTACATTGAAATACTGAAAATGCGGCCTCCAAGCATAGCCACCCCCTTAATACTCATAAAATACTTCCTCTGGTCTCTTTTCTCGATGGGTGTCTGAGCTTTCTTTCTCCTTTGATGCCCTGTCACGCTGGGTCTGTGGTCCTTAGCAGTTCCTTTTCAGGGAGTGGCTCTGTCCTTCCAGAGAGATTTTCACTGGGTATTTTTCGAGAGCCCTGAGGGCTCGGGTCACCTCAGCAGTTTCACACCTCCTCCAGTGTCCTCGCTGTCACCCACAGATTGGAGCCTGTGTAGTGCGTCCCAGCTTTCACTGTTGCTATCTGATATACCTACCAAGTTCTTTACTCCGAGTGGGGACCCTTCCTTTTGAGTGTGAATACTTGGGGGAAAGTTCCCCGTTTCCTCCTGCACAGCTGCAGTTCCGACCCTAGTCTCGCTGCTGCTGGTGGTCTGACCCCAGCAGATAATATCTGGGGACCCATACGTACTATGTTAACCAGCTGTATCCCTGTGTTTTTACTTTTGCTGTCCTGCTTCCTCCTTTTCTATTAGGGATTAAGGAAGATTCTAAAACTACACTGTCCCCATCATTCTCTCCTTTTCAAAAAGTTTCATTCATTTATTGAGACGAAGCAAAGAACAGCTTGGATAGGACAGATGTGGACTCTGTCACGAGGCTGCTCCAGGTAATTATACATCCACATGCTCGAATCACTATGGGGGGCATCGCCAGAAGGCATACTTCCTAGAGGACATGTCATCTTCATAACACAAGACACAAGGTCAGTCTCTTTCATCCATCCTTAAATACAGTTTATCAAGTAACATAAAAGGAAAAATCTTTGGGGATTTGGCTAAAAAATTCTTATTTTCTGGAGTATCTATTATATGAACAGTATCTGTGGGTCCTTCCAGAAAACCTGTGGGGGGTGAATTTTATCTGTCAACCTGACTAGGCCATGAGGCCTCAGATATTTGATTAAACATGATTCTGGGTTTGTCTGTGAGGTTTCGGATGAGATTAACATTTGAGTCAGAAGACTTAGTAAAGCAGATTGCCCGCCCCGTTGTTGGTGGGACTCATCCAGTTGGCTGAAGGCTGAGTGAGGAAAACTTTGCTCTTGCTTCCCGTCTTTCAGCTGGGACAACGGTCTCCTCCTGTCTTTGGACCAGACTGGAAGGACAGCATTGGCTTTCCCAGTTTTCAGGCCTTCAGACAGCAGATCTGGGGACTTCTCAGCCTCCACAGTCACATGGCCAATTCTTCATATTCACTTGATCTCTTTTCTTACTTTCTTGCTCATTCTCTCTCTCTCTCCACACATGTGCGTGCACGCATGCGTGCGTGCACACACACACCCACACCCTATTAATTCTGTTTCTCTGAAGAACCCGGACTAATATAAAACCTTTATTCTACTAGTTTAGCATTATGTGACATAAGAATTATCTTGTTTTGGGGCACCTGGGTGGCCTAATTGATTAAGTATCTGACTTTGGCTCAGGTCATGATCTTGAGGAGTCCTAAGATGGAGCCCCTCACTGGGCTCCCAGCTCAGCGGGGAGTCTTCCTGGCTCTCTCCTTCTTCCTCTGCCCCTCCCCCTGCTCGTGCTTGCTCTTTCAAATAAATACAATCTTAAAAAAAGAATTATAATGTTTTAACCCAATGTTGATGAAAAACTGGTAAGGCTAATAACAACAATTATTACTAAGGACTAACCAAGAAGCAGGCACTATGACAAACGTTTTATAATCTCTTTTAGTCCGCACCCCTAGGTGGGTAGTACTATCATTTCCCCTAATTCAGAGAAGAGAAAACAGGCCCTGTCTGATGGGCTGCTTTCTGTTGTAGAAACTCCCAAAATCTCAGTAGTTGAACCCAAGCGAAGTTTTAGCCATTGCTCATATGACATGTCCACCCATACTTGGTACTGGAGCCTCTGGTCACACCAGTCACTTGGGGACTCAAGACTGGTGGGGGCTAATCTCAATGAACAGAACACAGGGCTGGCAACCCAGGAGACCTGGGACCCAGGACTTTATCAATCAGGGTCCTGGCAGGAGAGAGAGAAGACCCTTAAACTGAGCAATTTGAGAAGTATTTAACGAAGGGAGTGTTTATGGAAATGTGGGCAGAGTATGGGAAAAACCACAAGAGAGAGACAGTATGTTTTGCTGAAAACAGGGACTATCCTATACTATGCCTGGGCCCAGAGGGTCCAGAGAAGGCATGACTGCCTGAACCAGGAGCCGTGTAGAGAGGGTCCCCTGATGGGATCAGTGTCCCCTGATCAAGGAACACAACCAGCCCACAGGACCCTGCATCTCCACCCTCCTTCCAGTTGCCCACTGGTGCTCCCCTCTGGACAAATCCAATGGGAAACCAGACAGCAAAGGAAACTTTGGAATCTTCCATACAAATCAGCCTCCTGGTGCCCAAAGGAGGGTGGAGAAGGGTGGTGAGTTAATCTGGAGGGGAAAACAGAAGCCATTTCACATAGCCACCAACAGGCTATGAGAACTTAGCTCACAGCCAAGTCCAAAGATTTAGTGAAGCAGGGGAGCTTGAGCACCATGATTTTCAAGAGCCCTTTTGACATTAAACACCATTTTCCTGCAATTCTACAGTTAGCAATAGTAAAACAAAACAAAGATGTACAGCTAGCTCACTTACTTGTGACAAGAAAGGCTTGCTTACAGCCTACAGAGCTAATACTCATAGCAATGAACAATTACACGGTCCCGGTCTTAATTTGGCTGCTCTGATTTTCAATTTCTCATTCTCCCTGCCCATCCCTTCATAGAACAATGCAGGGACCCCCGTGTGCCCCTCCTGAGCCAGGCTGTGCCTGAGCAAGAAGAGCAGTGTAGGTGGGGACAATCCGAAGATGATGGAGGGGGTGACAGACTGGGTGAGTGGCTTCTCAAGGTGGAGAGTAAAGGGGCTGCTCCCCCCACAGAGGGACCCTTGAAATCAGACAGAGCTGTCACCAGGGCTGTCTCTAGCCAGACAGGGACTAAGAAATGCCAGGTAATTGCCTGAAGATCTCTGATAAAGGCATTTTCTGAAAAGTAGTGAGAAAAAAATAAGAGGGCAGATGTAGGACGAAGGAAAATTCAAGAACCTGAATCTGCTCATTCCATGCATTGAAGTTGTCCCCGAGCACTTCATCTGTGCACTGAAGAGCACTTAGCACCTGCCAACGCTCAGTAACGAGTGGCGAGTATCATTACATACAAACCAGGCTTGACTCAAGAGCTGTGGGAGCGAGCAGCTGAAGGAGTAAGGGCAGAGCGTGTAGGCAGGTGGCATATTGGAACAGAGTCACAAAGGATAAGCAAGAGACTGAGCAGCCCCGGTGACACAACTAGAGAATTACTCTCTGACAAGGCCGTGAGCAGGCCTGGTCAAGTCGAGGGGCGTAAAAGTGACAGAATCAAAATGAGAGGAACCGCTTCCTTGTGAGGCACGGCAAGGAGGAGCGAGTCATTTTCTCTGGTGGCTGTTGGAGATGTGCTCTGGGTGGGAAACGTACATTGTCCTCTGCCAAGCTGTGGGTCTGTCTAAAGTAACAGTCCATGTGGCCCCCCAACACATAACCACACAAGAGAGATGCCTGCAGGTCACAGAGCCGGCTACACAACCGCACACATGTGGTGTCCCCTTCCACAGGAAGACCGGAAGACTGGTGTCTCGAGCCCAGTGTGATGTACTCAGGGACAAGGACTTGGATTTCTTCATTATCAGTCAACACCACTACGTATACCAATATCGGAATTTTGGTCTGATGTAGCAGACACAAGGAGTCAATCTGGTCTTTTGGCCCCTTCTAACTCTGTACTCAAGTTTTTATTTCTTTTATGGCCCAAGTTTTCAAACGATAGATTTTTAGGAAGTTGATAAAAGGCTTTTAATTTATAAAAACAGTCCACATTTCAGAAAGATTTCCATTAAAAAGCAGTTAAAGTTAATGTCCTGGTGTTTAATAAGCTTAAACTTTCAAACTTCTAGAACTTTCATTTATATAAAACCCTTACTGTGCCAATCTTCACAGACCAAATAACAACGCTGTGTCATGGTGATGCCTTCCATTAATTTCTACCACAGCATGGACACATTAAAGGGAAGGAAACAATTAAGAAGATAACCTGGAAAAAAAATAAGCCTTTCTATCCAATTAAATGAAGCAATACTAATAGGTCAGAAAACAACATCAGTGAACTTTATATGACAGTAATTTCCCTTTGCTTATTGGTGGTACTAGTGTAAGAAGTTAGGGATAAAGTTACAGACAAGGGGGCACCTGGGTGGCTCAGTTGGTTAAGCATCTGACTCTTGGTTTCGGCTCAGGTTGTGATCTCAGGGTGGCGAGATCGAGCCCCACATTGGGCTCCTTGCTCTGCGGGGAGTCTGCTTGAGATTCTCTTCCTCTCCCTTTGCCCCTCTACCCCTGTTCTCTCAAATAAATTAAAAAAAAAACTTTTTTTTTAAGTTACAGATGAGTATAGTTAGTAGTATATTTTCAGAGAGACTAAACACCTGTCTTAGAAATCTCTGCCTGAGCCAGATGTGGATAGAGACCGACATGATTAGCAGATGCTATGGTCAATGGTTTACATGTGTTCGTTCATTTAATGTTCATGATAGCCCTGGGAAATAGGTATCATTATTCCTACTTCTTGAATGAGGAAACTGACACGGAGGAGAGAAGGTGTGCACAGGCCCACCTGGTCAGTGGCTGGAGGGTCTCGGACTCAAACTTCCACCTGCGACTCTACCTCCCGGCACTCTTTTTCCAAACCCAGGGTACTTCAACCAGCCAAGTCTTTGATACCAGTTTACTTAGTGTTTGGAATAAAGTATGGCAGTAAGAGGGGTCAATGGTTTTTGGAACAGTGGCAGTTTTCAGAGCCACACAACTGTCAGCCCTAGCACGTGTAGCTATCTAAATTCAAATTACTTAACACAAAATAAATTTTAAAGTCAGTTCTTCAGTTGCACCACCCCTCATTTCGAGGGTTCAGTGGCCGTATGTGGCTACTGGCTGCCATACCAGACTGGGCACAGAACACAGACCATGTCTATCATCGCACTGATCTAGAGGACTCCTCACGAGGCATGGTACAGTTGTGTGGTGGGGAGATTCTTAGTATCTTTAAAACCATTACTGTCCAGAATGTTAGAGGGCACCCGGATGGTGAGAAGGCCTTTGCACCTCCATTACCGGGACAGTGCCATCTTTTTCTCTGTACGTTCTTTGCCTACAATGTCCTCTCAGTGGTTGACATCAGAGGAAGGACTAGCTAGAACTGCTTTATGTGAACTGATTTAATTGTAGGTTCCAACTTGGAGAAAGGAGGTTTTTTGTTTGTTTGTTCTGGAGCTGCAGAGCGGGGCAGGCATATAATGATTCCGCTTTGAAGAAATAGTTCGACTGACACTCAGAAAGTACAAGGTCAGAGAGTTATGAATTGGAACCAGGCCACGGTGTGCTGTTATGCAGGAACACTGAGCAAAAAAAGAGTTTACAAAAGACAGTACAGTCACTGCAGGTATCGGTGTGCATGCCCATTAAGAAAAGGTCTTATTCAAAAAAAAAAAAAAAAGAAAAGGTCTTATTCAAATGAAAATGATATGAAATGATATGATTTCCTCAATGAAGATGAAAGCATAATACTGAGGAAGAAGACAGTCAAAGTGTAAAAATTATGGCCATATTAGACATTCAAAAATGAAAGACAAAAGGGAGATACAGGCAGAAGCAACCCAAGTGTCCACTGTGGACAGATGCGTAAAGAGAATGTGGTGCAGACGCGCAGCGGAATATTATTGGGTCTGGAAAAGAAAGGAAGCCCCGACACTTGCTGCACAGATGAACCATGAAGACATTATGCGGAGTCAAACATGCCAGACACACACAGACAAGCGTTGTACGGTTCCACCTTCTATAAAGTAGCTACCGTAGTCACACTCACAGAGACAGGAAGAAGAATGGTGCTTGCTGGGGACTGGAGGGAGGTGGAAATGGGGGAGTTACTGTTTAATGCGTACCGAGTTCCAGTTTTCAAAATGAAAAGGTTCTGGAGGTTGAATGCACGACAGTGTGAACAGACTTGACACTGCTGAACTGTACACACTTAAGAATGATGAAGATGGTAAAATTCGTTATGTATTTTTTAGCACAACACAAAAATAATAAAGGGGCACCTGGGTGGCTCAGTGGGTTAAGCCTCTACCTTTGGCTCAGGTCATGATCTCAGGGTCCTGGGATCGAGCCTCACATCCAGCTTGCCGCTCAGCGGGGAGTCTGCTTCTCCCTCTCTAACTCTCCCCGCCACCCCGCCCATGCACATGCGCACACACACATGTGGTCTCTCCTTCTCTCAAATAAGTAAAATCTTAATAATAATAATAATAACAAAAGGGAAACACACACCCTTCAAAAAGCCATCTAACTCCGTTAAACCACTTCCTGATCTCTTCCGCCGCCATTCCATGCTGACTGTATAGTCTCCCTACTGTGACCAAAGCCAGTGGTTGCTCTCAATGGTTTAAGATTGAAATAATGGAACGTCACGATGACAAAGCCAAAAATGCCGAATACCTGGGTCGGTAGCAGAGATAATGGCTCCAAAGAAGAGACAGTCTGTGTAGTAGAATTTGTCCGAGAGCTGCCCCACGAGCTTCATGAGCTTCACCACACCGTACATGAGATTTCTGTGAGGAGGGGAGGGAGAGTGTGTGACAAGAGAAAACGAAAACCCTCCTCACGGAGCACACTGGCCCACATGCGAGCAGAGCAGCGCCCAGTACTGCACTTCTCAGGTGATCAGGGAAAACCTTGGGCAGCTGCTGTCCTTGGACACTTACCAGGAACACGTGCAAATAAGACTTTGGCACCAAGTAATGGTGCGTCGTTAACGACCTCTTGCTGAAACACGTGAACACCACTCCATTTCTTAAAGCTGGGCTTACTTCCAACTAGCAAGTAGGGCCCTCGATTAGCAACAACCTTAAAGCCTCTGAAGCCTCCGGGTAATCGAGGGGAAGGGAAGGGAAAGCACGCTTCACGGTGTGTACTCGACGGCTTGAACAAAACTGACGGGATTGTAAGGTGGTGTGTTTAAAGCTGTAGAAAGGAGTGAGAGCTGGACGAGTTAGGGAGGAAAACAAACATGGGCAGGCCGTGAAGGTCCAAGCGACCAAACTTCTCTGCCAAGAATTATTGAAAAAAAAAAAAAAGAAAAGAAAAGAAAGGAAAAAGGAACTAAACACTGTAAACGTCCTAGTAAAATCTCAGTGCACCCGTCGGCGTATCCGGCCTTGCCTTCTCTGCAGGGGTTGGGGCAAGCCAGTGGTGGCCTTTCTCGTGCCATGCAGGATGTGACATGTTCCAAGATAGACTCCTGAGTTAAATATTTCCACTTGGCCGGAGCACATTTCCTACAAGGAGAGCTTACAAAATGGGAGGAGTGACGAGTGTTAAAAGGCCTGGTGCATGTCACTAAGGGTGTGTGCGGGGGGGCAACTGCAGGGGTTAGGGGAGTAAAAATAACCCCACAATGGATTCACTGTACCTTACAGCTAACACTCTAATAATAATATTCTTGCCATTCAGGACCACTCTGTGGCTCACCTTTGTATCCTGGGCGCCGAGAGCAACAGACTGACTAAGCTGGGAGCTCAGGAACTATTTCCAGAATGGAATCCTTTGGACAGTACATAGCTATAACTCAATGCTTCCATACTGGGGGCCGGGCACTGTTCCAGACACTTAAACAGTTCAACTTTGATTCCCAGTAACTCTGTGGGACAGATGTGATTTGCCTTTTATTGCCCGTCGAAGGCTTCTTTCCCCTTCCTTTCAGACTTTCCCTGAAAGTACACTTGCCTGTCCATTTCCTTTGATCCCAAACAGACTTGGGTGCTGGGCTGCTCTCTGGCAATCTTTCCCCATCTTGCCAGTAATACCAGTCAGCTAATTTGTCATTCTTAAAGGACGAAGTCCAAGCCCCTCCTATTTTGACGACACAAAATGCCCTTGGCCTTTTATCTCCTCCAGCTTTCCAGCTCATTTTTAAAAAAGTAACTAAGGTCCATACTTTATTCTGATTTCCTTGAGCTTTTACCTAATGTCCCTTTTCTATTCCAGGATCCCATCCAGGATTCCACAGGACACTTAGTCATCATGTCTCTGTAGTCTCCTCTTGGCTGGGATGGTCTCTCTGACTTTGTGTGGTTTTGATGACCTTGGCCGTTTTGAAGAATACTGGTAGGGTATTTTGTAGAATGTGTTCCCACTTGGACTTGGCTGATCTTTCCTTCTCATGATTATACCGAGGTGACGTGTTTTGGGGAGGGAAAGTGCCACTCTCATCACAAACACCGAGGGTGCAGCATCCCAGCGTGATTTGCCACTATGGCTGCTGACCTTGATCATCTAGCAGACGTGGTGTTTGTCAGGCTCTCCCCACCAGCCAGCTATGCTCTCTTCCTCCTTTCCCCGTGCTGTCCTTGGTGGGACAAAGTCACTAGGCACAGCCTGCAACCAAAGCAGGAGGGGACGTAAGTTCCCTCTCCTGCAGGGTGGGGGGTCGACATAAATTATTTGGAATTCTTCTGCGCAGGAGATGGGTCACTTCTCTGCCATGTATTTATTCATCCAATCAGTTATTAATATCAGTCAAGACTTGAATGTTTACTTTATAGTCTGGGTCCAGTACAATGTTATTTATTTTGTCGTTCTTTGGCCACTGGCCTTAGCGGAGCTTTCAGGTTGGCTATGTGCCTCTTTGACACGCCCCATGTCCTTTTGTTTGTTTGTTTTCTGGGCGCTTCCTTATTTCTCAGCCTGACGATATGCTCCATTCTTATCTTGTATATTTGCTGCCCCAGCCCTAGAATCAGCCATTTCTGCAAGGGGCCCCTGGTTCTTTTTACTGTAGGATGTTATCAGGAAACAAGATCTGGGGACTAGGTGTAAATTTTATTTCATTTTAATTTAGCTTAATCTTAATTTGAATAGCTACACAGGGCTAACAGCTACCACACTGCACGACGTGGCTCTAGATCTTAACCGCCATCATCCTAAACACCGAAATTCTGGACTCTGCTGGATGTCAGGGGTTGGGGATGGGGGAAATGGGGAGATGTTGGTCAAAAGATACAAACTTCCAGTTAGAAGAGTAACAAGTTTGTGGACCTGAGGTATATCATGAGGACTGTCAGTAATAATACTGTGTCATATACTTGAATTTTGCTAAGACAGTAGGTCTCATCACAAGAAAGAAATGGTAACTATGTGACAGGATGAAGGTGGTAGCGAATATTATGGTGGTAATGATTTTGCAATTTATAAATATATCAATTCAACACACTGTCCACCTGAAACTCACAGCAATGTGATCGGTCAGCTGCATCTCAGTATAGCTGGGGAAAACACCGGGCTCTTGGACCCATGTGGATCTCATCTCTTTGGAAAGTGTGTTAATTTTATTACTGACATTGAGTTAACTTACCCGATAATGAAGCAGGAAACGGCAGTCCCCAAGAAAGCATAAGCCAGAATAGACCCAAGATTTCTGAAAAAGTGTCTCTGAATAAAACAAGAGGCAGGAATCACATTGTGAGTTTTGATACTGAGCATAAGAAACATAACAAAAGTCTCTTAAAAGTGAAATTTTACTTATGGCTTCCACTGTAACAAGTAATAACTGAAGTTACTCTAGAATAATGCTATTGAGCTATAAACATTGTGCTTTTAAAATACCCCTGGTCCTATTAATCACTGAGTAAGCACGCAAGGGCTTAGTAAATTTCAGAGAAAACCACTGTGATTATATTAAGTTACACTGAGACAGAAAGAGTGTGTGTGTGTGTGTGTGTGTGTGTGTGTGTGTGTGTGTGTGTGTGTGT